GTATATTCCAATTAAAGAAGGGGTACATTATTTTGGGAAACAACAGATGCCCTTTTGTAGATGAAGCGGTCGATCAGCAAAAAACAAGCCTTTTTGTAGACTCTTAAAAAAACGTCAGCTCCATACTTCGAGACAAAACAAAATGCTAAGAAGCTTCAAAACTAGTAAGAGATCAATAAAAATGGTTTCTTTTTGAGATGCAGTATTTCTCTCTAAGATTGGAAAATTAAATGAATAAAGGGAGATGCTAACACTACTTTTACAGAATAGAATACTAGTGTTCCAGAACATTACAACTGCCAGCTGATATTCCATGTTTTTCCAGTATCTGACTCAAACTTTCCAGAATGTTGTGTTTTGCATGAACACATTCTGTAAATCACACTTAACAAAATGGAAAACAGAAAAGCACATTCACATATACTTTGCAGGTTTGACGATCTCAGATATTGCAATGAAAAGGGAAACAACAATCCTTGTTTACCCTAGTGTCTAATTCATAATTTTAAAAAAAGGATGTGAAAAGAAAGCAAATGTTCAATAATACTTCACAATGTTCAACTCATCGTCGTCACAAATGATGTCATTTTGAGAAGCCTAATTTAGGCATTACAATCACAGCTACAGAAAATAAAATTATATCCTTCCTTTTGAAAGAAATCGTATTACTAGGCTAAACTTGCCTTTCTTTTTCCTTTGAAACAAAGTTTAAAAAAAATGCAGGTAACATAAAGAAAAAAAAAAAAGTCACCTATTATTCTCCATCAACTAATTTCCGGAGCTGCACATATGCCTCAAGAAAGTAAATACTCTTGATTTGTTACTGATTATCTGATTCATATTATTCTCACTTTACAAGAAGCCTACACTTCCACAGTTACCATTGTAATACGCAATTAAGGGATATCCCAAAGTTGTTTTGGACATAATTCCACTAATGGAGCAGAATATCCCTGAATACCACGCCAAACCGCTAATTCCCACGCTAACACCCCTTCATCTAATGTATTTCTGCATGTGCCGCTACAGTCTAAATGATGTAAATGCAACAGCAATATGATGCTTTGTGCAGTCTCTGCATCATTCTCCTATTGCATATGTCTGAGCTACTGAAGAAGCAGATAATACTAGCAACATCTTCACAGCTTTGTGTTTTTCTGTGCATGAAGAGCACACCAGCAGTGCTGCAATGGTGAGCTATGAAAAAAGTGATGGTTTTCCACCTCAGGGTAGATCTAGATGGGTAGCTCAACCTTTCTACTAAAATTCAATAGCTAAGAGTAGCGTTTGATAATTTGACAGATGGAGCAAATGCCTGTGTTGATTACACATATAGCATGTAATAGGGATTAATAGTGATTAATTACAGATTATCGCATAATACTCCAATTGCATGTGCACTTTGAGCACTGCTACACCCTACCTGTGCAGCTTACACAATTGACAGCCATTTAGTTCCATCTGTTTTGTGAATCTGTCACTGCTCTGTCCTATTAAATATCACCCATGTAGCTTAGGCCTCCAGTATGTTGAAGAGCATACATATTCATTTAGTGGAAGTAACACCACCAAAAGGTGGATTTTCCATTTAATGGGGCTTTCCATGTTCAGTTTACCAATTTGTACTACCCATACAAAAATATACTTCTTCCTAGATTCCTTCTGTGTTTTTTAGATGTCTGTTTCATTTAGATAGAACTGTTATCATTCAGTGCTCCATAAGACGCTGTTTGGGAACGTGATGACAGCACACAGAAGTTCAGAGAGTTAGTCCATATCCCAATAATTTGTTCTGGTGATAAAACATATGGCTGAAAATCACACCGAACTCTAAAAATGTAAAGGGAAAAAATGAAGGGGAGGGCTTAAGGAACAAAAGCCATTTAAAAAAATACTTTGCAGTATAAAAGAAAAAGAAAGCTGTAAAATACACACAGAAAGCCAAACTGCTCTGTATTATCATATTTGGCACTATAGTTTAGCAACGTTCCTATGGCTCTGCTATGCTGGCAATTTACTGGTACTGTCACAAGATCTGTGGCACAGAGGAACCTTTTAAATGTGGCATTTTAAAGCAGCAGCGCTAGGTATACAAAAATGAAGAGTACAAGACTTTGATATGACAAACGTTATATGAAAGCCCATTCATTGTGATTGACAAGTATGAATTTTGAGATACTCAACTTAAAGACTCAAACTTGCTTAATAATGTACTGCAAAGAGCAGTAGCCCATTTTGATCAGATTTTCATCTTTTGGACTACAGTGAACTGAAATTTGGCTTGTGAAAGTTAATCCAAGCTACTGCACTTTGTTCTACACGCAAAATACTTCTGATTTTTTGCAGACTACAAATAGAGGAGCAGCAGGGTTGGGGCCTGCGCTGACCGGCTTTTGTTTGGTTTAAAACAGGTTTTGCATTGCAGTGCAAGTCTACAGGGTACAAAACCTGCTGGAAGCAGGTCAAATGCTCCCTATCAACGAATTCTGAATGACCTCAGAAGCGTCTCAGAATTATGCTAAACTCATGACATCGCCACAAGCTTAAAGTGACACTAAACTCAGAGTTACATCTTACAAATGCTTTCAAGTACCTTAAATATTAAAAAAAATATATCTTATTTTATTAAAAAAATAATTTTTTAAGTCCCCGCCCCCCACATACACACGCAGATATGTGTCCGGTGCGCCTACGTGTGAAAACGACGATTGCGCCTATTGTGCGGCACATGTTACATATCGCCGCAAACGTTGGAGTGAGAGCAATAATTTTAGAGCCATTAATCACTGATAATACTAAAAACTGATGAGCAGTAAAAGTGTTTTAATCGTCGCCCATCTCTGAATTAGTGCTGACACTGTCCTTCCTTCTGGAGGGGGGCTACTCTTGTTCCCCATGGTCCTTGTGTGTGTTGTAAAGTAGCCACCGCTCCAAGCTCATTCCTGTGATGGACTACAATCTCGATACAAATTAGTAAACTAAACATGAGATTGTAGTCCATCACGGGAGCGAGCTTGGAGCGGTGGTTACTTTACAACACACACTGGGACCATGGGGAACAAAAGTAGCCACTCTCCAGAAGGAAGGACAGTGTGAGCACCAATTCAGAGATGATTTGAAGATCTACAGCTGAGTGATACACAAATAAGATGCATTTTTGTTAATAGTTCAGGTACTTGAGTGTATTTTTAGGTTTAACTCCTGAGTTTAGTGTCACTTTAAAACCCGTCAATACAGGCACTTTTCCTCCACTGGCACAAATACTAAATCATTTCTTTATAGCCATTAAACTATTTGCTTTCCTCTTAAAATCATGCCCTGCACAGCTCCTCCTAGCGTGTTGTCAGGGTTATTTAATAAAGCAGTGCAACAAAGCAAAACCAGTAACATGTAACCAGATTTAACCTTTCAATCAGTCATATCTATATACCATGACTGATGAATGGCTGCAAAAATATCAACATGTTGCTCTTTGCCTTATTAAATAAGCCATTATAAGTGCTTCTCATCCCACTGATATGAGCACCTCTGTGGCTACAAAGACTAGATCTATTTATCTGGGTATTATAGTTCTAAGTAGAGCAGAAGGCAGCTCAACAGCAAGGTTACTTGAGAATACCAATTAGGCAGTGGGCACAGAAAGCTGGTTGTCCTAAACTGAGCCCCCTGAAACCTAGCCGGGGGTGTAAATTCTCTTAAACATCCTCCAATTCCACAGTCAACTGTAACAAGGGAAACATCATTGTAAAGATCAGAGGTGATCATTTGAAAACAGTCAGCAGCTCCTACTAATTGTGGCCGTTACTAATCATCTTTGTCAAATTTAAAGTGACACTAAACTCAGGAGTTAAATCTTAAAAATACATTCAGGTACCTCAACTATTAACAAAAATGTATACCTTATTTATGCATCACTCGGCTGTAGATCCTCAAATCATCTCTGAATTGGTGCCGACACTGTCCTTCCTTCTGGAGGGTGGCTACTTTTGTTCCCCATGGTCCCTGTGTGTGTTGTAAAGTAGTCACTGCTCCAAGATCACTCCTGTGATGTACTAAAATCTCAATACAAATGAGTAAACTAAACATGAGGTTGTAGTCCATCACAGGAGTGAGCTTGGAGCTGTGACTACTTTACAACACACACAGGGACCATGGGGAACAAAAGTAGCCACCCTCCAGAAGGAAGGACAGTGTCTGCACCAATTCAGAGATGATTTGAGGATCTATAGCTGTGTGATGCACAAATAAGGTATATCATTTTGTTACATAGTTAATCAGGTTGAAAAAAAGACACAATTCCATCGAGTTGAATGCATTTTTAAGATGTAACTTGTGAGTTTAGTGTCACTTTAATTGGATCTTTTTTTACAATAGCCCCTCCCTGCAAAATGGGGCGAATAGGCTGCAATGTTATTACAGTGAAATGCTGACAATAAAACCATCATTACAATAAAATGGTTTATGTATAAATATCAGATTATCAAATTAGAGCGACACCTCTGTGCGATTATAAGTGAATGAATTGATGAGGTGCAGCAATGGCGCCTTCACTGTACACCCACAGATGTAACAAAACACATTATGGTCTCATTTAACCCCCTTTTACTTGGGCAACACGCGTTCCATTAACTTAGACGTAAACTATGCCAGCTTTTGTTTTATCAAAGAGATTCATTTTTCTTGACGTTTGCTGCTCACAAATTCATAGCCTCTCTTAAAAACTCCAAGCACCATTATTCCAAAGTCAGAACATATTAACTATTAGGATCAAGGAAATGTATTTTCTACATGTTATTCTTTTCCATTTACTTGAGATGGTTATTTTGTGGTTTGCCTGAATGATGAGAATACCGTTATTAATGACTTGAGCATATTGTTATAGCAAGGAGTAACACAACTGTCATTCTGTATACCGCATGCAGATCCCTGAACAACACATCCAATACAGTTTTATATTCATATGTGAAGCACACTGACTTGTAGAAGGTAAAGAAGCACAGATGTAGCAATCATTATTGCAGAGTGATATGGTGTTGTATTTTGGTTCTTCACATTTGCTTAACATCATGGGCACTAAGTAGGAATATATATGTGTTTAAAATTCGGTCATTTAACATTTTTTCTTTTTTACACTGGTAAAAATAAATAGACTTTCTTTCTCTCTGTCTTTACAACTAAGGAGGACACAGAACAGAGTAAAAACTGTTCCCCTAATCTACAAAGTCCTTTTTTTTTTGTGTGTTTTTGTTTTTTTTACCGAGCACCGCTGCTTTAAAGGAAGTACTGATCGTTGTATGCCGCACAGCATCACAAACATAACTTAGAGAAAAAAAAATATTACAGTGTCTAGACTCCTGAATGTGCTCTGTTACAGTTACATGAAGAATAATGTGCATATTAACCTCTACTGTAATTCACTTCCTACGGAGCTTTACATGATGGAAAGGAATGAGGGCAAGAAAAAAAAAAAAAAGAAATCAAAACCAAAAACAACCAAAAAATAAAATAAAAAAAAAAGCAAGAAGTTGGTATTTTGTTCTCGTTGCCCCCCGGGCTAATTAGCAGCACAGTTTTAGAAAGACACAAAAGCTGTGGATGTGAGGCTTGCTTGTAAAAGAGATGTAAACATCGGTCCCAGTGTAGTAAACTTTGCTGTAGAGGATGAGAAAGAACAAGATTTGAGGCTGAGCGGCTATCAAACACTAGTTACAGAAGCTTGCAAACAGTTAGCGGGTTTCTGTAGTTTATCAGCATCCGTCGTTGTAGTTTCTGCAGCAGATGTTCGGAAGTTAAAAGCTGGGCCAGCACCAGCATGGGCAGGACTCAGAGCTGGATTTTGTCGTCTGTTACTTTCCACAATACTTGAAGTATTAGAAGCCAGGCTTTCCCGGGTCCTGAAAAATCAAGCAAATAGATAGTATGAAAATCTGACAGTCAATCCTTTCATTAGCTTACTGACCCCTAAACAGATTTCAACTGTCATCTTGTTGTGTATGTTAGGAACTCCCCAATGTAATTGATCAGTTGTTCTGAATTTTGTACATGAACCCCCAGGTTAATAGATTTTTTTTTTCTCTGCTGCAGTTAAGTCTCTCCCCAAGTCTGTGACTAAACAGTGGAAGGAGAAGCTGCATACTGATGAACTCTTTTGTAACTCAGCTTTCTCCTCCTATCAGTATGCTCCTGGTTAGCACATGTGCACTACAGTATTGGAACGGCTCAGGTCAAATTTAGGAACTGCTTGCATTTAACCACCTCCTGTCCGGCCGTTATAATTATATAGCCGGACTGTGGCTTCTTGAATGCGGGTGGGCGTTTTTAAACGTCCTTTCCTGCACTGCTTGTGGCCGCCGGTGCGCACGAGTGGGAAACCTGCTTGAAATGTAAAACAGCCAGTGATAGCTATTTACATACAAGTGCTCCGGGGGCTGTAGAGCCGCCCGATCGCTTGGCGCAACTGGACTCCAGCAGCCGAACCATCATCAGCTACCCACTACACTTCCATTGTTGATTTCCCACCTCCTTCAGCCTCACGGTGAGTCAGAGATTTTTTTTCTGCACATGCTCACCCTCCAGCCTTACCATTTTTACTGTTGCCATCTATTTTCATCCATTCCACCCGAGTCCCTCTCGCCGCCTCGCAGCAAGAAAGGGTTCCGACCCTGCAACCCCTGCACAACGCTCTCAACTACCTATGAAAGCAAGTGTCCACCTTGTCACAGGTGAGTTGAACACCACTGACCCCCAACTTTCTCAACACAGTGATTGCGCTAGGTTGTGGCGCTTCCGTCTCCAATTTCTGTTTTTCAATGACTATCTGTACACTAGGCAATAGAACAGCAGCTGAGATTGCAGGATAGGCCATTTGGAGAATGTATTTTTTTGCAGACTGACCAACTTGCATCATTAGCATAAACTATCATTTATATGCACTAAGGAAAATGCATGCCCAGCACATGTAATAAACAGATATGTTCTCTTCTCCTCTCTTCTTTCCTGTTGTACCTTGTTTATGATGTACATTCCTGATTAATGGTACTCAAGCAAGAAGACTAGTTTTTAGTATCCTAGTTCTTGTACTTACTAAATGTTTATTTGCTCCGATAGAGGATATTGTAGGTACCTCAATATTATTTTTTGTATACGTGAAGATCCTTATGTATTGCCATGATCGGATGTAAACATTGTTGTTGACAATGCAAACATTATATACTTCAATAAAAATCTAAAGTGTAATAAACAGATATGGCTGCCTTCATATGCAATGAGTAACTATAAACAGAAAGAGATGTTTCTTGATAAGATCATTACATTAGGCCGATTACTTTTGCATATTTCCTTATAAACATTAATAGGGCTAACATGTATTTTTACCCATTCAAATCAAATTCTTTAGTTTTGGGAAGGAGATTGTGCTTTATGACATTTATGTTTGTTTAGTTATTTGGATTGATGTCTATCTAACTGTAGCAAAAGATCATATTTAAAACCAACATCAACAGAATACAGGCTTCATTGTAATTATGTAACAAAAACAATGTTTCAATATATACACCACAATTTTCCTATATGCCACATGAGGATTTACCCATATCTTATAAATAAAAACAAAGGCACCTTTAGAAATGTTCAGCAATGACAATCTACAAACACATACTTCTAGATAATTGCCGGCTTTGTATTCTTTGCATACCTTTTCTGTTTTCTTCCCCAGTCTTCTGACAGTGGCCATGTTTACTAAGGGCAGGTTACTAGCTCTCCCTTTACTTCCTGAAAATCTGGCACATGTGACTAGGACATGTGACCATGCACATCATCTCATCTCAGGGGAGGAAAAGGCCTTTGCCTGAGATCTCCTGAGATTACAGATGAGATTTGCCAGCAATGCTCTGCTGATGACAAGGTAATCCCAGTGTGCATTGCTTTGGCAAACTGAAGTCATTTTAAAGCAGGAAGTGAATGCTCTGCAAGTGTAAGTATGTCATAATCACAGCATTTTACACCTGACATGTCTGTGTTATTATTAATCATCATACATAGAGGGATGCATTGGTAGAATTTGGTTTTTGAGTGTAAAAGGTCCACTTTAAGAAGATATTGTTAGGAAACACAATCGTGGAGTACCTAGTAAAAGGAGGCAAACAACATTTTCTTTAGTACTAAAATTCTTAGGGCTTCATTCATAAAAGGTTTGAACGACACTAGCACCCCTAGATGGCACGGACGAGTATAGGATATGTCGCCAGGCGGAACCTTTATACATAAAACCTTTAATATAATCTTTAGCATACATTTATTTGCATAAAATTCTGAGCATGGCTATTCCAACTTATTTCTTCTGAAAGATATTTGAAGGTTCTTTGGGCAGCAGGTAGAAAAGCAAACCTGTAAATACATGAGCAGGGTCCTTTTAATCCTTTTGTATGGCATTGTATTGTAATCGTACTGCTTCCCCCTAAGTTGCAAAGTGCAAAAATGTTGGCACATATAAATCCTGTATAATAATAATAATAATTTATTGGCATATGTGCGTAAAATAATTCTATTGGCTAGAATATTCATTTATTCTAGCAACTACAGGTGAAGCTCGAAAAATTAGAATATCGTGCAAAAGTTCATTTATTTCACTAATGCAACTTAAAAGGTGAAACTAATATATGAGATAGACTCATTACATGCAAAGCAAGATAGTTCAAGTCGTGATTTGTCATAATTGTGATGATTATGGCTTACAGCTCATGAAAACACAGATCCACAATCGCAGAAAATGTTTGGCATTGTGGGCAGGTGCCAAGTCCTGCTGGAAAATGAAGTCAGCATCCCCATAGAGCTCGTGTGCGGAAGAAATCATGAAGTGCTCAAAAATCTCCTGTAGACGGCTAAGTTGCATTAGTGAAATAAATGAACTTTTGCACAATATTCTAATTTTTCGAGTTTCACCTGTACAATGAATTTACATGCATACACGAGCGCTTACAAGCATTTGCATATGAATTAGAACAGTAAGCTCTTCTCCATATGCAGGTTTAGGGCAACAAAAACACCCCAAAACCGTTTGTCTGTGTGCATGAGCCCCAACAATAAAAATCCAAATCCCCCCCCCCCACTGTTTAGTTATGTGTTAATTATGCTGCAATGCAACATTTATGGTGAGCATAGTGTTGAGCAGCAGTCATGTTCATGCCATCTTACAGGGCTGTTGAGGGAGTGAGCCGATGATAACAGAAGTTTGCATGCTAGAACATGGTGATACATAGACTGGTTAAAATGAGCTGGCACGCATGTGGAGCTCAGGGAGAATCAGCACTGTTGTCTGCTTGGCAGCTGTGATACCATCAATGCCCTTTCACACTTTTCCTCCAAAAATAGCCCTTTCCTTTTTAGAGGTTTATCTGTCAGTCACGGCATTCCCAGGCTACAAGGGGTCAAGGCACATCTGCAGTGCAGATCAGGAGCATATCAAATTAAATCATAAAGTAATAGTAGATACAATGTTACCTGTGCACCTTAGACATCAAATAATAGATTTTATAGTATTGGATTTTTTTTTTTACCAATTCTTCCCTGCTTATAATCTCACAAACATAATAATAGATTTGAAGAACAATATTTAGCTGTATGTCAATTATGAGGTCATTAAACTAGAGCCGGGGTAGCCAAACTTCAGCCCGCCAGCTGTGGTTTTAAAACTACACCTGAACTAGGGGTATTTACTGAGTGATTTATATTCCTAGGAGGGATGAGGAGTACAGATGAGCGAGTCACTCGATATGTTGGCTTGACTGAATGCTGTGCAGTAACTCATTGCAGTCAATCACAGTTCACCTCTCTTTAATTTACAGAACTCAGGACACTAAAGCTACAGAGCCCATTTATAAACTATCCGCAGAATAACCTCCTCCCTGCGAATAACTGAACGTTGATCCATGTGGATATATGCCAAAACAAACGTTCTTTACAAGGTAATGTATTTTCAATTTTTTTTCCATGTAATACCACATTATGGACACTACATGGCGCTGAGCATAGAAAATACTTATTCCGTAAGCTCCATTAGCCCCATCTAGTGGCCATAATGCAATATTTCCTGACAACATTAATTGCCATTATAAAAGGACTATAACTAAAGAATGTTTGTTTTGGCACATATTCACACAGAGCGAACATTAAGATAATGGCAGGGTGAACGACCCTGCAAATTGTTTATAAATAGAGCACATAAAGTGTTATGTTACTATGCCCAGCGGGACTTGATGGTACACACATGTAATTTTCAAAGACACTACTGTCATGTACAAAGGGATAAGGTTTACTGAAATATAGAATAATAAGATTGCTTTGTAGTACAGACTTGTATGTTGCATTACAAAATGCTTTGATTAATGCATGATAAGCACAGTTTGTAGAAGCAGTTCGTTACCACGATAAGAGCACACCACCACTTTAATAACACTGGACAACAAATCGTTTCAGAAGTTTTGCTTCTTGAAAAACTTTTGGTGATTATGATAGACCCCTTCAAGCTGAACTCAAACATAATTTCAGAATGATTGGTGGCATTGAAATACCGAAATTTGAATACCCGATGATAGCAAATACCATCCTTGTAGTCCTAAATCCAGTAGTTCTGGTTTTGATTTTGACAAACCCAAGTCTCTGACCATGTCATCTATTTCTGGCTTTGTTATGAGAAGGGGCTTGTCAGACAGAGGATTCATGATCACTGTCACCGTCTGTAACTGGTTGGTGCATTGCAGCATCTTTATCTGGTTTGTGAAAGCTTCATTTATTTGGTGGCTTTGGTACTGGCAGACTGTCATCATGTGGCACTGGTCTCATGGCTGAAGGCAGATTGGGGTACTCAACTGTTTTTTAGCAGAGAAACCAGAGAAATTAGTCAGACAGACAGAAGTAACAGCCCGTTACGTGATTCTTTCTTACCATATCATCAGGACAGCAAGGACCATGCCTTGTCCTGATCACCAGTCTTAAGGTGCCCATACACCTTGCGAATATCGGCCGATATTCGTAAGGTTGATGGGCAGTGTACAACCGCAAATACTGCACAATCCATCGACTTTTGACTAACCAGCAGGTTAGAAAACTTCGGTCGATCGTATGATTTTCGCAAGGTTGGTGGCATTTCCGTACATCAAAAATCGTACGATTTACACTGCTCATGCGCAGATTAAAATACGTGCGGTCGATTACCGCAATTGCGATAATCGGGGCAGGATGGGGCCACCGTACGAAAATCGTACCACGGTTCGATCATCGGACGAAAAGTGTCGCCCGATGATCGCAAGGTGTATGGGCAGCTTTACAACCAAAGTAGAGTTCATACACTTCCTTGGTGTGTCTTTGAGACTTAAGTGTATACTTGCCAAAAATGTCGCAGAATTTGTCACAGTTGTTTTGACAATTGACGAGACATTTCTGATGTCACCAACTGTACTACAACTACAAAAGCAAATCTGGAACAGGATTAGGGCTAGTTGTTACACTGCGAGCTGCCTTTAGCCCTTACAGCACCATACACTAAGCCTAAGCATTCCCAGGAATCTCCAACCTGTGCATGTTCCACAAACGTTATGTAGCCAGCCCTGTGTGCATGCCTGGACATGTGTGAGCTACACAAAGCATCATATAACACAATCCAAAAAAAAAAATGTAAAATGCGACAAGAAAATACAAAAATAAAAAGATTTTTTACAAATTGTACATGATAGGTTAAATTACACTTTATTTTTGTGATTAGCAGCTCTAAATCTAGAAGATACACCCAGAAGTCTTCAAGAAGCAAAATCTTTGTTGTCCAGTGTAATGCACTGCAGAGCAATGAGATCCGCGATGTAGTTAAAAATTAGGGATGTTCATATACCAGTGCCGAGAACCACAAGAACTACCAGGGTTGCAGCTGGGACCTGGCTCTGGGGCTCCACCACTGTCCTGAAATCATTACTCTGTATTGTTTTACTGTCACATAACAATTCAAAAATAATATAAAAGATTTAAAACCAGTCAGGTTATTTTTTTTTTGCTGTCCCCCTTACCTGGGGAGGATTCCCTTTACCTTGCTGGGGAGGATTCCCTTTACCTTGCTGGGGAGGATTCCCTTTACCTTGCTGGGGAGGATTCCCTTTACCTTCCCTTCTTGCAGACACAACAGTAACGGAGAGGAAATTTGTCAAAATGTACGGGGATAGCCCACTTAGACAGTTGTCACCAAAACATTACCACTTGTCTCTTGCGCTCATGACAATTCTAAAATTTTGGATTTCACATCAATTTTTACGTCAGTAACCATAGTCAGCAGGAGAAAAAGAGGGGTAAATCCCCCCAGTGGGTAACAGACTGATGTAAAAACTTGGCAGAGGGTCTAACCCCCCACCACTCTAAAGAGAAAAAAACAAGTTTTGCCTATGTATTCACTTTAAAGTAAAATAAAGTTGAAGCTTGTTTGCTGCTATGGGGAAACTAACAATAACTGTCTACAGAATACTTTATAGCAACTTTCAGTGCGGGAGGCACAACTGCATCGCATATGCACACTACCAAAATATGTGTTTATGCACCACATCGGCATTCTCTTACCACATTGATGCTGGTGGTTTCCGGCAGGAGTGGGATATAGTATGATATTTCACTGCAAATCATACATGCCACTGTAAATACAGCCTTCGTGTCTAACTAAAAACATTTTTAAAAAATCTGAAACAGACAATGTAGGTCACCTTAACCTGTAGATATATTACCTCAGAGGAGGGTACCAACCAGGTAATAATTGAAACAAAACTGAATAAGCAGTCATTTTATTTCCAACCTCTGCCATAAAAAGGATATGTTCACTACCTGATCCAAGCCAACCATCCCACTCAGATCCCTATTTCTTCTTTCTGACGGTGAAGGCCTTGGGCTGTGTTGAACACCTCTGTGCACAAGTCTGCACAAGCAGCAAACAGCATTCATGCTTCAAGGCTGTAAACCATATGAGAGGCTAATTGTGTTGGAAAGATGTAAGTAGGCACCTGGGGGGGGGGATTGCTTAGGACATGTTAGGGTGTTAGTTTTCAATCCTAAAGTGAACTTACCCTTTGAAGAAAATGTATAAGTGCCACAGCACAACTTATAAATGTCTGCAGTGTGCCCGTTTATTAGCTCATGTACTGATGTACAAGGAGGACCACAGAAGTCTATTTAGCTCACTGATACAGGCACAGTACTCAGCCCAGCAAAAGTAAATGCAAACCATCTAAATCAATCTAAACAGATTTATATATTTTATAGTTATTATTAAAGCATTGCATATAATCACTGCTGTACCTTCATTACACAATGCAAAATTGGAACATTCTCTTATGCTTGATGTTGGTACAGTGACCATTACAAGCAGTAAGCCAAGTTTTAATACTTGGCATCAAGATACCCGATTATTGATCTACATAATAAAAGGAAATATTCTAGAATAAATAATCACAGAGGCTATATCTTCTTACCGTGGGGAGTTAAATCCACTGTCTACAGTGATGCTACTACTGTCCATGCTGTCCAAACGAGCCGAATGTGTGGCTCGCTGGCTACTGCTGCTGTCAGTTTCCTTTGGATTTAGAAGTGTGAGGTTTTTCTCGAACTTCCTTTGTAAATCCCTTTCCTTCTCCCGCTGTAGCAGCCACTGCATTGTCCCTACATCGTCTCTGTTTTTTTCCTCCTCTGCTGTCTTTTGTGTACCTTCCTCTGACTCGTCATCTTCCGAGACGTTGTAGTAATCAAAGGAGGCTTCTTGATTTCCTGCTGGCTCCTGTGGCCTTGGCGAGACAGCAAGGTTTGGGGTAACTGAGGTGGTAATAGGTTGCTCAAAGTTCTCGATGCTTGCTGGCAGTGTTTCAGGAGAAGTCTTTTGGTGTGTTTTCATCAAATTCACACCCGATTTATGAAAACTGTTCACAGATAGGCTATTGTGCAAAGGTTTGAATAGAGTATCTTTACTGAATATTTCTTTCCTTTTATCAAGGCTGCTTGATTCTGCATTGTGATGTGGCACCAATCGCCCATTTGCAATCACTTCTGGGGTCTGTCCAGAAGCAGCAACTGATAGACCACTAACAGTACCTTTTGGGGAGTCTTCTTTGTATTCACCTTGCTCTCTGGCTATGTGTTGCTGTGGCTTCTCAGCAGGAGAAAGTCTTTTCAAGCCTTCTGTGAGACTTGATATATCAATGTCCTCTTTATTTTTACCTAAAGGGGATGGAGCAGTGAGAATTGTTTCACTAGATGTATTACACTGAAAATAGTCATCTGCTGTTTTTTTGGAACAAGAATTAAGTTCACTGTAAGAGGATAAAGTCTCTGGAAGTTTGCCTTGTTCCAACAGGCTACATGATTTAGGGGTATCTGCACCACCACTAGCTAGTTCAGGAACGCATGGGTCTTTGTAAGTCAGAGTCCTCTGATGACTCAAGCTACTATGGGATGGTCTTAAAGTGCCATCATCTATAAAAGACTGGCTTGGTGTTTTATCATCGAGACTCAAGCCTTCACCCAGGTCATCCGGTGTACCTAAAGAAGCACCACCTAGAGGTCCCTTTGAATTGTCCATTGACCTAGACCTTTCCTTGGCTTTATTTGACCTTTCATTTCTTGACCTTCTATCCTGTGTATGGCTGTGGCTTCGATGGACCTTGGAATGGGAACTCCCCCTTGAGGGTTCAGGAAAAGGCATTTCAGTTCTCCTTTTGGCCAGTTCACCAGACACATCCCATTCTGGTGTAATAGGAAAATGAGATTCGATCATGTTTGGATTGCTGAGCACTACAAAATTTTCTCCACCTTTACGCTCCATTATGAAACAACCTTCCCTTGGTGAACGATTCCGAGGATGATAGAACTCATACTCTCTCTCTCCGGGTAAGTCTAAGTGGGAGCCTTCAGAAGGGTCACCTTTGGAAGCCCTATTCTTGCTATGTGACCGAGATTTTCCATGAGTTTTTCTGTGAGTCCTGCTTCGCCTGCTTCTACCACTATGGTGAGCTGATGAACCAGCTTTACTCCTCTGAGATTTTTCTTCTTCAAGTTTTTTCATTAGTGCAGTGTGCCGTACGACATTTTCCACTGTTAAGTCAGGGTTTATTCGCCTAATGATTTCCATCTCTACTTCACGGGGTATGGTATTTGGGGTGTCATCATCTCGAAGGGGCCATTCCTCAGGAGGGAACTGGGCTGAAAAATTAGCCAGCTGTTTTGCCTTGTCCTTTTTAAAACTTAGCCTAAATAATTTCAGACCAAATTTTTTAGATGGCTTATCCCCATCTTTCGGTTTTGAAAGGGTTTCGGTTTTATAAGAATAATTTATGGTACTTTTGCTTTTCTCTGTAGGGGGTATCTGGCACAAAGAGGGGGGACAATAGGAGTCTTTGCAGTCTTTTGCAGATTTCCTTTGTAAGGTAGATGCATGGATGCTATGCATATCTTCTCTGCAGCAATGACAAGAGTCGCAGTGGTTTTTGGAGAGAGTTCTGTCCCTGACACACCCTGAAGGAGATGGCGTAATATTTCCTGGTTGTGGAGAGGTACACTGAGACCGGTCAGGTATCCTTTCATCCAAGTGGTACCATTTACTGTTAGTTCTTATAAGGGATGGGGTTATGAAATAAGTCTGTGGGGTTACTATAAAGTATCCATCTGGGGTTGGGTAGATTTTCCTCTCTCGGACAAGCATATTAAGTGTATGCCGCAGGATTTCCGGGCTTGGGGTTGGTACACCTGCATAAAAACATCAAGAAAAGAAAGTTAGTAACAAGATAGAATACCTTTATGTACTTCACAGTGCACATCATGTATAAAATTGTTAGTGGTAAGGTCTGTCATGATAGTCCCACAGTTACCAATCCAATTAACATGAAAATGGACTTCTACAACCAATTGGTGGCAAATCTTAGTAGTATTAACATCTTAATGGCTAAAGCACATTTTTATTAAAAAGCAGTATATAGTAATAAAAATTAACAGGAATTAACAGTATGTTACTACTGACAAATTTACCCTTCACGGTGATATACTATAGAGGCTGCCAAGTATGCAACAACATCAGGGTCTAATAGTGGATGGTGCTTATATTTTAACCTTGGCTGTCTAATATTGATGTAGATTATGGGAACACAGTTGTGCTTGTAGTGAAATCCAAACACCCCAATTATTAAAAGAATTTAGCAAAATCCTCCCCACGTAAATAAATCATAGGGGAATGCTGAAATGGGATGACAACCTTGCAAATAGCCTAAAACATTATAACTGTGGCAATTGAAATGCTATTGCTCTTCCGAGTGAACAGGCAGTAACAGATCATATAGGATATAAACAAACTCTTGAGTTCCCACCAGGTGTGAAGCAAAACTTACTAGGTTCAAAGCACAATATGAACCAGCAGTCCATGACCTATGTTTGAGAGCAAGGAATCCCTACAGGCTAAAAAGCACCCCAAGATGATTTGTCTTATTTAGTTATAAAAGTAGGGGCAACAAACATTCATAAGTCATGGTAGTGGGGTAACTCTGGTCCCAGCAGACAAAGCAGGATCTCAAAGCTAGGATACATTATGAAAATGTTTCACCAAATTCCCATTATGGCTACATAACTAAGCCTGGCATTCAATAGCAATGTGAAGAAAATTCTCATACCAACACAACTAATGAAAGTGTATGAGTGTCAGAAAATTCAGAATGCAAAATTCCAGTAACAAAAAAAGCAAGGTACATATTGGCAAGGTAATGGTGTTAAGGGTTCGCTTTGTTCACAAAGGCACATTGTGGACAGAATGTAGCAAATTTTCCTGCACCTTGAACGCAATTTTGTTTCTCAGGATGCATTTTTCATCTTTCTAAATATATACACTGGTTGTTAGGAATCCCTAATAGTAGAGATTCTGGTCTTCAAAATACTGGATGACAGGAGCAACAGTGTTAGTTAAGATTATCTAGTCTTTTAATAATTCAAAAGCAAAAGCTGTCTGGACACTGAATCATCAGACATGTACGTTTTCTGCATCTCAAGAGAGTCTGTTGCGCCCTGACACCGAGCTCGTAGACAGCAGATTAGGTGTTGCTTGTTGCTCACAAGGAACGCTGACCCAAGATGAACCTCATTAATAGAAGAGACATTTTCTACCTACTAAACACATCTATGGTTAGGGCTGGAAAAAAAAACTAAATATATACCAAATGAAAGTTATCTGCCTACCTCTTTTTAAAGATAGCGTTAAAGTTAGTGATGGTTTATTTCTAAGGGGTAAAGGGCCAAACGTGCATCCATCATTTCTGATACCACTTAAAAATCTTGCACAATTAGAAAGACAACTTATTTTAGATAGGGTCTGCAACCCTAACAACTGAAATGCATGTCGACTGAGAGAAAAAAAAAAAAGAAGTACTGGTTAACAATAGTTCAAGGTTAAATATAAAGAGGAAGGAAAGAGGACTTTAGTTCTGCACCGAGAACCGACAACAACGAATGCTCATTCTATAAATAAATATATTCAACATATAACCCATATTTCAGTCTACAGCTGAAGTAGGGTCAGGTACAAGTTCTTATAGTAGATGCTTTCCACCCTTCTGGGAGCTGAACGATCAAGGCAACCAGACTGCACTTCTACCCCTGCTAACATCAATGATATCTACAGTAGTTTGGGTGGAAGAGCATGCTGGCACTGCTCTGAACTTTGGATGTACAAAAACAAGGGATGCTGATTGAGCATTTCAGTGGTGAAAATAATAAATGGGGATTGATCACTATAAAACTGAAGTGTAATGATTAAGTAATTGGTAGTAATTGGTAATCATTTATTTGGGTTCCCTTTACATAGGCCAGCTATGCAGATATTGTACCTACTATACTATGATATTATGTACTAAATTAATGTATGCATTAAAGCAGAACTCTAGGTTGACACAATCTTTGCTGTGAACAGTAGCGGTGACATTTTGGGAGGGAGGAGCAGTGATGATTCCTTACTGGTTGAATAACGCATTTTTATATTGGGACTTCTATTTGGTAAATTATTTTTATTTGTTGAATTATTGGATGATTATTAGTATCATGTATGAAAAATAGGATTTATGTGATCATTGAAAAGCACGGTGTATAATCAGAGTACAACAGATTATGTGGTTTTGAAGGGTGATATATATATATATATATATATATAAATAAATATGACACTTTTGCACAGTACTGCTATGTTTATCTGATATTACCTGTTGAAGGGGTATCAACATCCCACAAAGAATCTTTCTGAGCCCCAGCATGTTCCTGCATGGCTAGAGCAGGGAAGGACTTATAAGGGTCAACTAGGAATATAATTAGTGATTAGCTTGGAGTGTGAACCATGGCTTCAGTGGTCCACTGAGAAGCAATATCTTCTTTCATCTCCAATTTAATAACTATCTCACTACAACTTGTTTAATTGCAATTTAGATTGAAGACACTTATATAGCGTAACACCATTTTATATTTATACAGGTTAAGAAAGTGAAGTCATTTTGTAGTGGCCCTCTCAGCAAGGTAAAGGGAACCAGAGGAAGACGTGTAGCGTTAAATTAAGGAAATCCACAAAATATATATGTTTTAGAGATCTACTTTATACACTGCTTTAGAGCAGCCATAAAAAATATCTCCTATAAATATATACCCTTAAATGATTATGGTTATGTCACCCAGCAGCCATTTACTATTAACCAATTTCTAGCATGAATCATTGGCCTTAGTTCACATGTGCTTTGTATGTGGAGGTCTGGACTACACTGGCAGCACATCAGCATCACCCCACACATGCTCAAAAAGTCATGTTACAAGCATAAACTAATGATTACAACAGGCTGGAATCTGTTGTGGATTGTTAACTATTTGTCAAAAATTGAATCATAAAACAAAAACACAGAAAGAGTTAAATAGCCATTCTTTTCTAATGGATAATTTGTTTCATTTATTTGTTGCTCCTGATGTTCTTTGTCAGTACACAAATATTACATTGTAACCGATATTAGGGTATCATGGCTCCATCTGCTGGTCAACTGTTGCATTGCTATAGACCTTATTACACTATACTCCACCACAACCATAGTAAATCAAGCTTTTTTTTATTCAATGCACTTCATCAAATGTTATTCTTGCTAAGATTTACAGCCTTTAATTTGACCCTAATTTCGCTCATGGTAATAGTTTAACCACCTATGAACGGTATGTATGAATACAAGCTGATATAGTCTCTTAATGATGAACCTGTATAAAACAAGATCCTACACCTCTATGGTACAACTGGGTACGGAGTAGCACGAGACCCATTCTTGTGACTGCGTCGGGCCAACTAGTGATATGTGGTAGAAAAGTCACTTGCACTCCAATGAAAATTTGAGTCAATATTCTTTATTGACAAAAGAATTGTCACCGTATAGCAATGTTTCAGAACCATATAGGTCCCTTCTTCAGGTTAAGTGACAGACTTTGTATGCCTGAAGAAGGGACCTATACAGTTCCAAAACATTGCTATACGATGTGACAATTCTTTTGTCAATAAAGAACATTGACTCAAATTTTCATTGGAGTGCAAGTAACTTTTCTACCACATGATACTGATCTGCTGTCATCTCAGCACCTACCCGTTATCTTGGGTTCTATCTGGTCAGGAGTGCGATGGGATCTACTTGAATTACTTTTGGGCCAACTAATGCTGTCACAGGGCAGTCCATGGCCCTCTGTGAATTACAGATCTGGCAACTTGTAGCCAGCACTTGGCTTTACTTTCACTCCTGGCAGCTGAATTAATTGGTGGAGGAGCAAAAAGGAAAGCAAGTATAGGTGTCTGCATGAGCATAGCACACATTTGTTTTAGATCGATCTAGGGAAAGACGTTTGTCAATTGCCACAATAGTAAAACTTTCTTATTTATTGTCAGTTTAGTTGCTCAGCTTAAGTGTAGAATTATTAATGACCTAATAAACCCACCTGGGAAGCACACAGACCTTTTCGGAAATAGGGTGGCTCTCTTCTGAGATGGACATTGGAAGAGTTTCACATACATTCTAACTTTCTGAGATGGGAAACATGGACACCTTTTAGAAAGCATGTAGGCAAAGGACACACCTCTGTCACACTGCAGTTATGAGGACCAATGAAGAATATATAAACTTAAAATGACTGGTTAAATCCACTAGTGCTTTATTTCACCGCTTCTTTAAACTGGTTTTTAAAAATAAATTTAAAAAAAAAAAGATAAAAATACAAAAAATTAGGTCTCGACATCAGACCAAAAATAGCCACAACTTAGAAGGAAAGAGGTACAGGGGGGGAGGTTTGGTTCTAAAAGATGGGCAGCTGGGAGGTACGATTTATTTTAACTGGTTTGCAACAAAGGCAGGATCACCTACTGATAAGCCTGTGACAAGTCTATGATAACACAATTGGGACAGGCAAAAAATATTTAAATTCTCTTTATCATTAACCTCCATCTGTTATGTAAAGATGCCATCCATTATATGTGGAAAGTGGTTATACATAGACTAAGCAAATGTTCTACAGTAAAATACAAAAGTTGTCAATGAAATGAAAGGCTTTAGATTTATATTAGAGGGGTTGTGACAGGCTAAATACAAAATCTTAAAGCAGTAGTACAAGCTCCAATTATTTTGTAAATTAATGCACCCTGGTGAAGGAGGGAAACATTCCCCAGTACAAAGTTTTCAGAATGTGTGTGCCCAACACTGTAACAC